AAGGGCTTCAGCCACTTGACAACATGTAACTCAATATACACTGAAACGGGAGGGAGGGGGGGAGATGCTTTAAATCATTAGAGGAACGAAAAGGAACGGAAAGAAAAAAAAAAGCCGTTTCGCTTTCGTTTTCGTCTCGCACACATGTAGAGAAATACACACAACATTCACAATGTGACAAATTTCCTCTCTTCTGAAAAATAAAAACACTTCTGTACACATAGTAGTAATAATATTATTATTAATAATAATAATAGTAATAATGTTTATGACAATAACAACAGCAAGAACAATAATACCGCGTGTGGCTCTGTTGATTTTTTTGTCATCTTTTCCTTTCTCTTTTTTGCTTCATTCTACAAGTCGCATCCCTCTTTTTTTTTTTACTTGTCTATTTTTAATCAGTCCAAAAAGAAGTTCAAAAGGCAGACTCAAGTTAATAGAAAAGTACTAGAGTGGGAGGAGGGCGGGGAGGGGCGGGCTTTTTCACCACCTCCCCTTCGGCCTCGCCCTCAGCCGAACCTCTCCCTCACTAGCATCATTAGTTTCTTTTTGCCCTTGTAGATCTGTTTCAGGTTGTCTATGAATTGGGTGAACTGAATGTGTCCGTCGTGAGCCATCATGAAAGTCTCCCGGGCTTTCCCCAGGAACTCGATGAACTCGCTATAGTGGCGCGGGCTGATGTGCGTGAGCCGTGAGTGCGTGGTGTTGATGTAGGCCCCAATGGTTGCGTCCAGCAGCTGCCTGAGCGGCGCTTTGTCCAGCGACATCAGCTTCCCAGAATTCCTGCGGCTGTGCAGCGCCGACACCATGCCCGGCGTGGTCAGCGTGCACCGCCGCAAAATGTCAGACAGCACGGTGGCGCACTTGACGCTCTTGACCACCAGGGGGATTACAGCCGCTAGCTCGTTCTTCCCCAGCGAGTGGCTGAGCGCGCAGGCCCACAGCACGTCGTTGATGGCCGGGTGCGTGTCCTGGTTGTAACTGAGGTTCAGGTGGGCCATTGCTAACGTCGCCAGCTTGTACGCTCTCATTGGATACCCGCGGTGTTCCATGTAGCGCGCAATAGTGAACAGCTGCGTGTAGCTCATTCCTGTCGCCGCCGCGTCCAGTACAATCTGGTAGGCTGTCTCAAAGGCAATGTGGTCCTTTTCGCAGAGCGTGAGAGCGGAGAGGGCGCAGTTCTGGGGGTCCTTCATGGCACACTGTAGGGCGAGGGTGCGAGCAGATGAAGCCAGGTTCTCCTGCTGGTGGCAGTCCAGGTGCAGGCGGACGATAGTGCTGTTGGACATGACAGTGGTGGCCACGATACTGGTGGCTTCCGTGGGGGTGAAGAGGGTGAACCAGCTCTGCATGATGCTATCCAGTGCGTACACACCTGGGGCACACATAGAGGCATGAATAGATGTGAAGAGAGATATAGAGCAGAAGCTAATAATAATCCTTAAAACAGCTGAAAAACACCAATTAAGCGGATGGCGTGGCTTACCAACTTCAGTGGCACATGTGACTAACCAGCGAACCATCTCTCTCCTCCTCCAGTTTAATGTGGACAGAGTTATTCTCATCACCTGAGGAAGGTGAAAGATGATGGAGCAGGAGGGAATGAAAGGTGAGTTACTGATCAGACATGTAAAGCATTAAAATGCACAGGGAAGATGAGCTATATCTACTATTACCGCTGAAGAGTATTATAAATATTCCTGTAACCAGTTCAACTGTAATTTCAACGACGCACTAGAACTGTGGCGGAAAAGACTGTGGTACATATTGCAACAGCCTTGGGGGGAAAGGCCCACAGGAAAACCATCAAAGTGAATACCTTTACAAATATATGATCCAAGGTAAATCTATAAATAATTTATTAAAGTCTGCAAAGGCGAATAAGGTGAAAAAACATAATGAACAATATTGTGACATTTACCAAGCATCACCTCTCAAAAGCTCATTCTCCTCCCTGAGGTGCACAAAATAAAGGCCCCTTAGAAAATAGCATTGCAGTGCTGTTCCATCTAGAATTAAATATTCAGGAAACCAAAGGATCCACAGATACAGATCTGTTACAATATCCTTTCTGATTCCTCTGCACTCATCATATAATGGAGCTATTTTACAGGATTAAGAGCACCCTATAATGTAAATGCCGTTTCCTGGTAATCTGTCTTGTATTCCAAGACAATAATGTCAAATTCTGTTTCATGAACATCAGGGTAAAATCCTTTTACTGACCCAAGATAACTAAACCCTTGTGATGTACAGGTTTAATGTCATCCTCCAGAGCTATAAGCTTTTCTTGTAAGAAAATGATCCAATATATCTCTACTCAAAGATACAAGTCAACAGCGGCTTGGTATAAGTAGAATATTACCTTCACATACACATGTGGATGTATTATTAGGCTTTTTTTTTTTTAAACAAAGGTGTGCCATGGAAATTTACAACCTGACTTCCACTAAAAGGTGAAAATAAATTCACAGAAGTACACTTTTAAAAAAAAAAAAAAATGCATACCTGCAGTCCTAACTCCAGAGAGACTTTGAGAAGTGTTATATCAGGCAGGCTGTCCATGAGCGTGGCAATCTTAAACGCGTCCTGCGCCAGTTTGAAGATGTGAGACGAGGAGTGAATGTTTTTCTGGATGGACTCCAGGACCGTCTCCAGCCTGCGACTGTCGCCTGTGGTACAAACACAGAAATAGTTTCGAATTGCACAGAAATTACTGCTACCCCTATCTGTATACATGCAAACGCATGTGTTACTAATAGTACGTCAACATGAGGAAAGTTAATGGCGGGATCTGTAATTGTGCAAATATCTGTGCACCTTTGGCAGCAGTGAGCATGGTAGAGGCCAGCTCACACTGCTGGGACTCTATGTGGCTCAGGGTGAACCAGCGCGGGTAGCGGTTGGGCACTACGGACACGATGTGGTGAGGTCGCGACAGGTCACCGGATGATGCCGTCGACTCCAACACCGGCAACCTGACGGAGAAACAGACCCACAGCACAATTATTAAAGATATTCTGTGGAGAATTATGTACTTCAATTAAATACATAAATATTAAGTAGAGTCTTGAGTCTTGAGCCACCCCTTATTTCTTTAGATTTTGCTTTCAAGAAGCCAGACTTTTCTAAAGTGGTCTTGAGCAATATTTCTCCAGGTCTCCAAGTTTTTCTTTGGACACTGGCTGCTTTTTCACTCAAATTTAGTCCATCCTTATACCTGAATATATTTAGAGGAAACTAAGCAAAGAGCAGTATTTTTGTAGCAACAAATCATCCCTGACACGAGACCCAGAGGTGGGTTTTTGGCAGTCACCCTGTCAAGAAGCAAGTCTTAAGGAAAGGAAACAGGGAGAAGAAGTGGAAGAAGAAGTGGACTGAAAAATCAGTGGCAACAGGTTTTATAGAGCGATGAGTTTCAAATCATTAATGGTATATATGGAGGACAACAGTGTCTACAGCCATCCGTAAAACATGTAGGAGGCTCTGTCATGATTTGGGGCTGGGGATCTGATCAAAAATGGTGAAATTATGAACATAGAAAAGTACCATCAGGTTTTAATCCTCCATGCAATACCATCTGGAAAGCCTGTAACTGACAACAGCTTTACTTTTCAGCATGACAATGATCCCAAACACACTGCCAATGCAATAACAGCATGCATGGAATGAAAAACAAACAATGGGAAACTATCAGTCATGGACTGACCTCCCCAGAGTCCGGACCTTTACTGAAACAGTGTAGGATCATCTTGACAGAAAACGGACCAAAAGACAGCCAACATCCAAAGAGGAGCTTTGAATGTCCTTCAAGAAGTCTGGAGAACTAAGTGTATTTCAGTTAATTAAGAATATTAAACTCAAAAACATCAAATTAAAGAAATACAAGAGTGAAGAGAAATTAGACAACAAAGGTCCGTGAATCATCATCAATGAAACCTCTTTTTTTCCTCCATACTGTAACAAGTAAACAGAATACCGTACTGAGAGAAAAAAGGCTTCATTATGAATGCCTGAAAGTCACTTCAAAATCAAAATGACTTCAGTCGACACAGGGGGATTACAGTTAGCCTCTCCCAGCAATTTACTTTCAACCTAGTATTTAATCACCTAGAAACCATGGTATAATTAGTATTTTCTTCACTCTAATTGGTCATAATGAAGTCAGAGCCGTGCAACACCTGCTAGTGGATGGAGGAGCTTCACTAGTTTCTGTCTCTCATTATAATAATACTGACAGGGCCAAGTCTTCACAAGAGCCACGAGCACAACACAGTTACCACTGTGGCCGGCTCATCTCCTATTCTGCTTCACTTCTCTTCCCTCCGCTCCCACCTCAGTTTCAAAGGTCTTCTTTCCTTCAGAAGACAGCGCAACCTGGCCTTCTCTCAGCCAATCACAAAGCTAATTGAGTCCATGGGGAAATTAAGGAATTCACCTTCTAGCCCCGTAAGGCTGGACACACATCAAACAAATACCAACACACATCAATGGAAAAAACCCAGAGCATACACACGCACGCGCGCACACACAAGATCAGATACACACACACACACACACACACACACCTGCCCTTTTGAAAACACATCAAAGCAGCCCAGTAAAAGCAATGTAATGCTAAATGCCAGTTTCAATTTCAGAGCAAGGTGCATGTGATACCGCTGCCACCCGAGTAAAGGCATGTACAAAAACAGCCTCGTCTTCGCTCCGTTTCGCCCAAGAGGGCACCGGCGGAGCTCGTTTCTCGGAGACAGAAGGTGTCAAAAACCCAGTTGAGATGCGTGCAAGTGTGAACGCTGACACTTGGTGCAAAATGGAGATGTTTGGAAGCCCTAGCAACAGCCGGATTCATTCCACACAAAGCTTAAGAGCTGCTAAAAGCTTTTGCCACACTGGGACCTTCTGGAAGATTCCTGGGGTGCAGCAAAGCAAAGCAAAAAAAAAAAAACCCGCCTTGGATAAAGATGGAGGCCTCATCAACATTCCTGCTTTTGTTTGGTGTTCACCAGAGAGCCGAGTACTTGCATCGGATGGGTGCTTAAGGACCTGGATTTGCTGAAGAATACCTCAATGTAGGAGAGGTAAATGAACCCTCATGAACTTCTCCAAAGTATTCAATCCAACCACAAGTACAGTTTAATCCCAGCCAGCTAATATAATTAGTGCAAAATGCTGCACATCTAAATCCAACACCAATTTACTGTGTGTTTACAGTATAATAAAAAAAAACTGTAACAAACTGTTCTTTACAGGTTTGCCATGGTTTGAAGTAATTGCGTAAAAATATATTATCTAAAAAGAAACAGAGTGATCGATAAGAGGCAATCAATTCCTGTGAGGGTCAGTGAGAAGGGTTTGTCGCTCTGGTGTCAAATGTCTCCTGCGGCACTGTAGCACGCTGTCACATCTGAAAGGGGCAGAAATATGCAATACAGTCAACGTGGAGGCAGCTGGCAACAGATTACAGAAGAGGAGCCTGTGATGAGGCAGTGATGGGTAAACCAGCGTTTAGGGTCACACATTCACATGCCCATGTAAGAAGAATGAAATGCGTAACGCTTTGCAGAAAAGCTGCAAGGATACAATGATAAAAAGCAGTGAGAGCAGGTTTTACCTAAATCCTGAGGCCCTTTGGGTTTCTGGTCTGCATCACCATGACTACTGACCTCTTTACCTCTTTCTCTGTTCCCCCTTTGACTGTAAACACCCTTCACTTCCATAATTTATCAAGCGCACATCTATCAGCTAAGTGACACATCCGGTGGAAGACCATACACAAACTCCTGTGGGATAAAACCTGCAGAACACCTGGCAGCAGGGATGAAGTCATACATGAACGAGATGAGCAGATATTCTAGCCGTCAGGAGCCTAGGATGCTAAAACTGACATTTGCTTTGAGTGATGCTTTTTGAGGAACATGTACTACATTAAAGTCATCACTGTCGCAGTCACGTGAAAATCTGTGTTTAAAATATCATTCTCGAGAGGTTTGTTTATTTCCGTGCACTTGGATTTTCTGCAACTCACAGATGAGCATGTTTCTTTATATTGTTCCATAAATTTCATATAATACAATAAACACATGTGCATGAGCAAAGTGATTGCAAATACACCGTCTGTACGTGTGTGAGAGTTTGTGTAGTGGTGATTCTTTATAGCTTTGTGCGGACAGACAGTAAAACATTATATGCAGAAGTAGAAGGCAACAAGGGACAGACTTAAAGATTTCACTGACTGATAGTAAAATTGTATTGTATAAAACATTATATTTCAAAGGGAAATCAACCCATTACATTACTAGTATTTCTTTTGGCAGTGTGGTTTACATCTATTTCTCTCACTGGGACCAGCACGATAGTATTGCGCTGTTTACATGTCCCACATCAATGATTCCCAGCATCTTAATCTGAAAGTCATGTAAAAAAAAATTGAGAGACTAGATAAGGGTTTTACTATGCAGACTAAAGAAAAAAGCCACCAAAGCATTGGGTAAGGCACATTAGCTCTTAATAGTAGATCTCAATGTCACACGACGTCAGCTGATATGCTTCTGTGTGTCCTACTGAAACATCTAGAGGTAGGCGGATCTAACCAAATATCCATAGTATGGTATTGGATCAATACCAGCCATAGGATTAATACTTTGTTTCTATCCTCTAAATTCAGTTTGAACTGTGTCATTTAAAAAAAAAAAAACATCCCATCCAACCTTTTTGCGCTGACTGTCAGAAGCAGAAGCTGACCCAAAGTGTTTTAGAGACAGGCACATTTACATTCCAGGTCACAGTCATGATCAGTGCTTCATAGGTTTAAAGTATCGGTAATAGTATCGGCATTGGTATCAGTAATACTGGCCATGTATTCACTTGTTATCAGGTCTATACCAAAATTTGCATTATCACACAGCGCTAACAGAATCTCATATAAGGTATACAATTTAAACTGCTTTAACGTTCTGTCAACTGTTGCTCATGCAAGCAGCTTTGCCGCCCGCCTTGATCCCAGCTCGTCCTTATCATGCCGCGTCTGAAGATGTCATATCACCAATGCCTGCTGTGTTGTGCACCACAGGTCTTTCTCCTTCCCCCCATCTGGAAATAATAATCGTCTTTGGAATAAAGTGGTCCCGACTGAAATGATGGCTGCTACCTGTGTGCACTGGTGATGTATCAGTCTCATCTTATCCTCAGACGGCAATCGTGATATAGAGTACTTTATATTCAAAGATTATGGATTATGCAGAGGATCAAAGGTTGTGGATTACAGCGAAGATCCAGAGTCATTAGCATTGGAAGGCTCATATCTCATATGGAAATCACATATGATAACAGGCGACTGGGATTTGTTTCTTTGGCTTCCAAAAGAGTTGAGATAAGCACCGTCTCTGGAGAGGCAGTGAGCTTCTTCTTCTCCTTCTTCTTCCTCTTCTTCCTCTGTGGCTGCAGTCAAATTCTGGGCAGCCCCTGAACTAGTAGGCAGCTTCTCTGTTTTTGTGTTGGCCGCTCACGTCGAGCCATTGCATGGCATATGTTGCTCTTACACACTTTAATTAACCTCATCCAAGACACATAAACTCCCAGGCACTTTAAAATACTCTCATGGATATGCATGCACACATGGAGGCAGTCTGACTTCCTCTCATTTGCAAAAAAAAAGCAGTTTTAAGAGCAACTGTGACAGAGGAGAAAAATCGAGAATGCAAGTAGAAAGAAAAAAGTGTGTGAGAGAGCGTGTGTGTGTGTGTACAAGAGAGCGAGAGAGAGAGAGAGAGAGCTAGACTTTCTTTCTCTCTCCTTGTATCAATGATAGTGTTATAATAGGTCCATTAAAATAGCCCTGGTTACTTTACCTCCTCCTCTATATTTAACTGTCCACCATCCCGTGGGAGCGGGGAGGTATATGCTATCACATTACACTACGCTACATTACACACATTCATTATGTGCTGAGTAGACACCCCTGGCTCCCAGGAGCACCCATAAGTGGCCGTATTATTCTAAATCGACGCATTCACGCCAAAGGAGTCGGGATGGAGGAGCAGAGGGGAAGGAAACAAAAAAAAAAAAAAGGTAAAGGGAAGTAGCAAGGGAGGGAAGGGAGTGGCTGACTCAGGGAAAACAGGCTTGGGTTTAGAGGGAATGGAAGGGACACACCAGCTGGATTTGCAACCTTGAAACCACACTGAGAAATCCAAACCATCTCGTTTTGGTTTTGTAAGTGTGTTATTTACATCCTGACGCCTCCTAAATGGTTAACTGTAGGAAGGTGCAAGGGATGCGCTTCTTGTCTTTTAGTTCTCCGTTCGGCCAACTGTGACACATCACGAGAACCCGAAAAAGTTAAAAGGAAGAACAAGAATCGCTTCATTTTTAGTCGTTCACAAATCATTTGCTAGTTTTACAGTGATGGACTTCGCAGAGCTTAGCTTTGTAGAAACATAACAAACATCTTCCTCCTCTGTGTCCTCTCCCCGTTGGCTCGGCATATGCATGTGTTTGTGTGTGCATGTGCGTGTGTGTGTTTGTGTGTGTGCGCGCATAAGTGTGCGTGTGCGAATCCTCCTCATTACAGCCACACTAATTATACTCTCATTAATGTAATTAATATTCACTGATCCAGCTCCCACTAGTCACAACATCAAAACACAGCAGCGCAGACTGATTAACGTACATACACATGTCCACATTGTCCACAGATGAATACACACAGGAGCTTAATATAGAGAGATCACATGGACAACGCACAGGCCAGCAAACAGCGTGGAATTCCCTTCAAAACACAGATGCACACTGAGCTGCAGACATTGCAAGCTTTAAAGCTTGAAGACAAGCTTGCACAAATAGGAGAGATCTTAAACTTGAGGAGATTTTTTTTTTTCTCAAATCGCTTAAATCCTCACTCAGATTTTAAGCGAGGATGACTCGGTCATCTACAAATCAGAAGGTTGGTGAATCGCTGGCTCGTGCAGTTTGCATCGTCGTATCCTCGGGGAAGTTAGTGAACACCAAATCGCACGTTACAGCTTCAGACTGACGGACCAACAACAGCACAAATAAGAGTATCCCACAGAGCAGTTACGCCACATATTTTTGACACTGCCCCCATCTGACAACAGATGCTCTCTGCAGGTAGACGGGCAGCCAACGCCAATGCACTACCACAGCTGAACCGTAATTTCCCCACCAGTGTGTGTGATCGTCAGACAGTGCTTAGAATAGAGCGCTGTATGGGTGTGTGTGTGTGAATGGATAAGAGTGGCTTGTAGTAAAAAGTGCTTTGAGTCCGCAGAGTAGAAAAGTGTTACATAAGCATCAGTCCATTTTACCATTTATAAGCCGCACGTAAATATTTTATGGTTACACAGGATGCGAGGATATATCATATAGTGGGTTGGGGCGTGCATACCAATATTCAGCTGTTCACATATTAGTGTGCTGCACAGGTAAGCTCATTTGTTTTTCAGAAATCTGTAAAACACACTCAGGATCATCAATGAGTGGTAACTTAAAACTTTGTGGCCATGGATGCTAACATAGATGCTACTGCTTCACAATCACCAGTCTCTCCAACAACAGCTCCTATTAGAGCGTGGGGCACTGCTCTATCTCTGATTGTTTTACTCATTACTTCATAGGAAATCTCCAAAGCTCAAAAAAGTTTTATTTCAGATTCTTAACAGGGCCTCTCTACATCTAGAGCCTTCTCCTCAATAGTCACCTTAACTACACCGGTAAAGTTTCATAGCTGTCCCTTGCATGTTTATGACACCATTATGACAAAGCCCATCCACAGACAGACATATAAACACCTGCCAAGCTTTGGTAATAGTTAAAGGAGGTGCCCAGGATCACATTCTGCCATGATGACACACAGACTGAGACACACACACATGCACGTGCGCACACAGACGCACAAAGTGACAACAAAGCGAGACCTGCTGTCACAGCTGGTAAAAATCTGATTTACAAGGTTTTGACATGATTACGGAAACAAGCCCACACAAACACAGGAGACCTACCGCATGGCTCTCAGTGCAATTTTGTACGCCAGTTCAGCGTCGTGAGGTAGGAGAGAGGTGAAGAGATAGCGGGCGAAGGTGTGCATGGGGACACTTTCTCTGTGGACGATCTCTCCGAGGCCAGAGTACGGACCAGCTGTGACAAAAAGCACATGAAAACAATATAAACACACCGAGAAAAGTGGGTCCTTTTTAGCTATGGAACACACAGGAGGAAGAAGTGTGTCCTCAAGTTATTATATTTTATAATATGTACCATACAATTAACACATTCTGGTATTGCTGCACATTAAGTCATTATTTTCCTGTTGCACACTGACGAGTGATTTATCTGGTCTGTCCCTTGTAGCCAGGAAGCACCGAAGCCACGCGGCATTAAAACAAACTTTGATGTCAAAAACCATATGGCCGTGTGTGCAGCCTTGGCCTCACACTCTTCCTTCCCTCCCCCTCTTCCTGTGCTTCCCCCCTCATCTCTGGTGGGTTATTTTAAACCCCAACAGGCTTCTAAGCCACAGACCACATCACACAGTGGCGCGGCTGCAGTCTCCAGGGACCCACAGAGGCCTCGGAGCCCGGTGCTCTATTAGTAACGGAGCCAGAGGTGGGTGGTCGCGCCAGGGATGAGGCAGGGTTGGGGTTTGGGTGGGGATTGGAGTAGAGTTTGACTGGGCTGGGCCCTCAGGGATGAGCCACCACCGCACCCCTCCTCCTCCTCTTCCTCCTTCTCGTTTTCCCATAACCAAACCCCATTCTGCCCTAGCTCCACTCCTGTAAATGTACACACTGGTGTGCGTGCACGCATATATGTGTGCTGACACAATACCCCTGGTGTTACTGTGTAAAGAGCTCATTTTGGTCTGGCCCAGGGCAGCTCAGCCTCTATTTGCACCACAAAATGAAAGGATAATAAATAGCGAGACAGAGTCAAAAGTGTTTTTCCTGTTTTAGCAGGAATGTGTAGGCTCTTGGTGTGTGGGAGGTAGAGGAAGAACAGGGAGGAGGTGTGCCTATATATATATATATATATATATATATATATATATATTTAAATATATAGATATTATATATATAGAGAGAGAGAGAAAGAGAGCTATAGGGAAATATGGTGAAAAAAGTAAATTGTAAACAGGTTACACTTATGAAAAGAGCTTTAGACTTCTCATTCACCCATACAGCATGCTGGAGTTCAGTGCTGCCCCAGCACACTTTATCATGTGGACAGGAAGAGCACACACCCACTCGACCACGTTGGGAGCAACCATTTAAATGTAAATTTAAAAAAAACCAAACCAAAACAAAAGTATAGTTGGAATATATTCTGTTATCTCTCTTACCCTCCAGCAAGAAGACGGCCTGTTTACGGAAGATTTTGACCAGGGAGTCGTCCAGTTCCACTTCCTGCAGCTTGGCCAAGAGCTGCTCTTCATTGCGACACACCTTTTCTTGAGCATACAGCCCATCGGGCATCACCCGCTGCTGGCCTAGGCCGATCAGAGCGGTCTCCACGGCCAGCGCCACGTACGATTCGCCGTCCCCCAGCAATCGTTGCACGGGCATCCGCTGGAGGTCCGCTCGGCTTACGACGCTGGAGCAATCTATGAAGAGGGAAAAGGAGAAGACAAAGAGGCAGATGAGAAGAAATGAGTCAGCAGAAACTGGCTCTCTGAGGCGCTGGACAATAGAGGAGTCCGTCTCCTGTGAAAAACACACTGTGTTCGTCACACAGTGCAGGTCTTAATCCAGTGACCACCCAAAATAAAGATCGACCCCTTAGGAGCATTCCTCTGTTCGCTGCTCTTCCTCAGAGGAGTGGGCTATTTCTGTAAGCAGGAGACGCACCGAGGGACGGAGCAATCGCAGAGAGTAGGCGAGGAGAATTTGAAAAACATGGTGAAGAATAAGACAAAGAGAGTGAAGGTGAAGCTACACTTAAACTATGCTTTGTATAGACTAAAAATTACTCTACTATAATCGATGAGATATAAATATACATGGAGAGTATAGATTTCCTATCTCATGTTAAAAATCAGTCCCATAGAATTAGAACAAACATCTGTGCTAAATTACACAAAAACATCTGTATTTTCATGACTTGTTTGTGTGTAGTAGCTGATTTTTCCGTGTAGATACATAAAGACAGACACATGAATCACTTTGTAAAAGGGTGTGGGATGAATAAAGAATACGATAAAGTCGCATTTTGATGTGTGTATGGGTTTTTTTGTAGCTATTTAAGAGGCCAGTTTCCATAAACCAGCAGTACCTGAGAGGTCTAAGCAGGTGTTAGAGCCCTCCTCGCCCACTCGTCCTGACTCTGTTAGGGTGCTGAACAGGGTGCCAATGGGATCCAGGGGATGCCCCACCCAGCCCTCCATGTTGGTTATGGAAGTGTGGCCTTTATGGAGCAACTCTAGAAAAGGACAAAGCAAACGGGGACACGTCTCAGTGCAAAAATTGACAACATCTTAAAGTAACAATGCACATCATTAGCCTCTGCAAGCTGAACAGCGTATTAACACAAACACATATACACACAAATAACAACTGTCTGTCCCAGCAAGACCTCATCTTAATTCTTCCACCCCTTAAAGTCGACCCCCCTCCGCCACTGAAATGCGCAAGGGTATGAAAACTAATATGCACAGAGCTGTCATCCATACCTGATTAAGAAACAGCAGCGATAGGCCCCATAAACTACCAAAAATCAATACAGACCATATCTCAGCGGTGTCTTTGTTATTTGTTATTTTTCAGTACCTTGCATGAAGAGCTCATCTACTCTGAAGTTTGGCAAGAGTAATTAGATGTTTAGATGTTACACTTTACGGAGGCAAAAGGATTCACAGGAACTGAAAGCATTTCTGGCTTGTTCCTTTTTAAATTTTCCTTTGAGATTATTAGGCGTTATATATGATATCACAGTGAGCTGGTGTTGTTTGTAGGTAATTAGTGAGTTTCCAAGAATGGTTTGCTGCCAAATTGGATTCTGAGAATAAAAAACAAATAAGGCTTGAATACCGCAATTTAGTTTCACCTTTCTTGTGCCGACGAAAGTGCTCCAGTTGCCTCTGCTGCTGCCTTCGTAACGTATTGACCACGGCGATGGCCAGACGGAGGGCTTCTCTCGGGTAACCGTGGGAACGCAGGGCGTCCACCCTGGCGCAGGCTGTTGGGACATGCTCTGAGGGAAAGACAGAAGTTTTAAAACCAGCGTTCTTCTCTCACCTCCTGGACAATCTCAGTTTGGCTCACTGTGTATAAATAACTTTTCTGGCACGTGCTCACTCACACCTCCACACACACACACACACAGACAGACTCACCGTGCCATAAGGGCCAACCACGTGAGTCGAAGAGAGAACCCTCCTGGTTGTCATGGTAACAGTAGTTGGCGTAGAGGTCACTGGCGATGATGTGCTGGAGGTGTCGGTCCTGCCAGTGCAGGTCGCAGGCCTCGATGGCCCGTGTGAACACAGTCCTGTGGGGGCGCATCTCTGAAGGAGAAGGAAAGGTGAGGTGAGAAAAAGATGGATAACAGCCAAACGCTCGATAATTTGTGGACTTCTTCTTGTTTTAAAAGACAGCCCTAGCATTTCAATATCTTTTTTGACATTAGCGTAATTGCTACAAAAAACAAAAAACCATCATTTGGAAGATTGGCAGCTTGAACTGGCTTGTGTACCACAGAAAATCTGCTGTGGTGTTTTAAAGCCGGAAAGCAAACAGCAATCTAAGCGGCCTCCTCTCGACTCCAGCAGACCGGATTCACACAGCAATTATGTGGGGCAGGAAAATTATTGTGTTTTTGCAGTTGTTGGGTTAATGTATGGAATTGTACTTCTCGTTGTTGTGTTGAGATTTATCGTCGACGTGGTTTTTCTCTGTTTCTTTTGTTTTGTCTATCTTGTAAGAAAATAAAATGTGTATGAAAACAAACAGAAAAAAAGAAAAAAAGAATGGAAATCTGTTGATTTATCTCCAGCACATGCGTGGCTCTTTTAGCTTGGAATTGCTGCCTGTGTAAAATTATCTTTTAGGACAAACACTGGATAGAGACAGACTGATAAGCGAACACACACATACGCCCACCCTGTAGCCAAAGCTCCTGAGCCCTTTCACAGTGAGGCAACAATTCTTTGATTTACAATTTTTAATTCATTTTAAGTAAACCGAATATGAGTCATACCAATATGAAATTGAACTTCTCTGCTGACATCATGATTTAGAAAAAAAATACTTTTTTTTTCTCGTTCATTTTTGAATCAATCGTTAAAAGAAAGCATCTTCTTCTCCTTGTCCGAATCAGGGTCACTTAGGGGCGAGAGGCAAGGCCGTGTTCATTTTGACAGCAAACTTGAGATGATTCAGTAAAAAAAAATAAAGTGTAGACTTTTGTCATGGTTTTACCAGTGAGAGTTGCTCCACACGATTTAACAAAGCGTCTTATTATATATTAATAAGATTCCACATTTTATATATATATATAGCCATTTTGTCTTTTCATGAAAAACAGAGAACCGTTTCTCATTGTGTGCACCTAACCTCACTGCACCACAGATCACATTCCTGCCTTTCTGAACAAATTCATTAGTTCTTATTGGATCTCGTCAATGCGTTTCAGCATATCTTCTGTCCTTGTGCTTTGATTTCTATGTAATTATTGTCTGAAATACACAAAAGATGAAGGTAATTATTGGTCAACAAAATTAATTAGCTGGCCGCCGGGCAAACACACAGAGGTAGACATCCAGTCGCACTCATATTCACACCTAAGGCCAATCAGCAATCAGCAACCTAGCCCCATCCCCATGTTTCTGAACTATGGGAACAGAGAGAGGCCACACAGACACGGAGAGAACACACAAAGGTTGGACTCAAACCTTGGACCTTCTTGGTGCGAGGCGATGTTGCTAACAGCACCACCTTGAATGGACTAAATCTATGGGAAAGAAATTTGCCAAAACAGTTCTTTGGGTGCTCGCTATTCCTTCCTGCACAACAGATCTTGGAAGTGCCACAGCTGTGACGAGACTCACCTCTCACCTGCTACAACTGCCAGACACGTGTCACGACCAATAAATACGTTATTGACAGACATACAAAACCTGTCGATGTCTTACCTTGGTTGCCATGGGCGCCCTGAGGCAGTGAGTGGGTGAGGTTGGGCAGCTCGTTGCCGTGGTTACCGTCTTCCCAGGGGCAAACGTCCACACTGTTCCATCTGCGCAGCTGGCGCAGCCATGATGACTTCTGCTCCGGTTTACAGTGGGGGTTCAGTACGATGCACATCCACAGGGCACCTGGACACACACACAAACACACACTTCAGTTAGCTGCCCTACTTCTCAGTGTGTAACAGTGATGTAAGCAATGAGTCATACAAAAGCCATAAAGTGTGTCTTTTGAGATTTAAAATACCTTTAATACAGATATCATGTGAGATTGAAAGCTCGGGGCTGTTTTTACACCCTAACACTGTTTCTTGTTCTTTTAGGAGCACATTTTACGTGCTGCCGCCATCTTGCACTGGAATACAAAACTCTGTGAAAACAGAGAACTTGACTAGTCCTGAGGCAACGCTGACTGCACACACATCATTTTAGAGTAAATTGGAACAAACAGAATATGAAAAGTGGCTATGTCTCTGGGGATACAAGCACAATCGGGGATTTTACTCTCCAGACTCCAAGAGATATGTATACACTCACATTGTGTGTGTGTGTGTGGGTGTGTGTGTGTGAGAGAGAGAGACTGTATGTGACTGTATTCTACAGATGCATATGTGTGCAGACAGAGTTTGGGAGGAAGGACGAAGGCAAGGACATAGACAGAATAAGAAGGGAGAAGAAAACACAGCGGAGAACAGAGAGAAAGTGTAAAAAGGAGGGGGTGAGGGGAGAAAATGAAATGGGGGCGCGGATGATGTGGACGAGAAGACACGGGTGAGGACAAGTGAATGAGGCAAGGCTTTGTGTCTGGAGGAGAGGAGTAGCTGCAACTCAAAGAGGAGCAAGACAAAAGAGGGAGCGAGGGGGAGAGAGAGCGAGAGAGAGAGAGAGGGATAAAGAGTGCGGCGCCAAGAGGCAGCATTTACCACACATCAGGGGGAGTGATAAGGACTTGGGAAGAAGGTTTTGAAGTGTGGACTTCAAAGAGACCGTGCACACACACACACTTCCAAAAATACGTGGGATTGAAACAGATGAGATCACTGCGCTGTCCTCGCAAAGTGCAGAACAAGACCAAAGGGAGAAAACGAACATCATCATCAACAACAAAAACAACAACAACAGCAGCAACCAAGACATTAGAGAAAGAACAACAAAGACGCGGAGACAACACGGCTGCTGTCCTGGTGATGAGCCCGCTGGTTTTGCGGCATGTGAGGATGTGCTTTGCTGTAGGTACAGCACGTCTGTCAGAAGAACTACAGGATGTATCACGCCGAGCGAGAGCACGGCGAGCGGCACTCTGTCACATCAGCTTAATATGTAATGAGATGAGTCTGAAAACACTGCAGAGGTTATAACATTTAGGGTTTCAGCACGATGCATTAAATAGCTTGTAATTCACAAAGACACTTTTATACACCACCAGTCACAGTGAGAAAGTGACTGGGCTGTCAGTGACAAGTGTGTGCGGGACAAAAAAAACAAACAAAAAAACAACACCTTTGTGTCGATTTTTGCTAAATCCGTCTAGGCAAAGAGGTGTGTGCACATTTATAGGACAGTATGTGCGTGTGCAGTGTGTTTCTCGCTCTCACCCAGCTCATCCCAGAGCTGTCTGTACTTGTCGGTCATGGTGGTGCCCTGCTGTCTCCACAGCGCCAGCCGAGGGTCTGCCATGAACTGTTCTGTGATCAGTGTTAACATCCTCGCTCCGTTGGAGTCACGCATCTTCAGCATCTCCCTCACCTAGAGGAGGACACAAGAGGGACAGGCCCGCGCACACATGTAGTTTACAGCAGCTGAGGAACAAAGAGCAGCGGTAACACGAGCGGCACGTTGTTCTAACATCGTGTGCGCGCTGAAATATTCATGGCACGTACGCAGGCTTAAATCAATGAAGAAAACAACTTTTATGCCTCGGGATGGCGCAAAACACGTGTAGCACATTTAAAGATGGCCGGGCATGTTTTCATATCTACTGTGTGTAATCTGTTGGTAGAGGTAAATACAGTGGCGGCAAACGTTTATATTTTAATCTTGCAGCTACTGCACTTGTCAACGGTCAAATCAGGTTTAACGGTCGCATGACAAAATTCCTCTCATTCTCGTCGTGTTTTGTTTCCTTAAAACGCTGTTTTAAATACTTACTGTGCTTTTTCAATCCAGTTCTTGAGACAGAAACGGAATAATCATTTATGTTTTCTAAATAGTTCTCTGATTTCACTTAGGGGTTTTAATATTCTGCAAAACTAGATGTCACAAAGAAAATCCAGTCATTACATTACATACAATATGGCATCATTAAAAAAAGATTAAAAAGAATGAGAATCCAACTTCAAGAAAATCAGTTACTAGAAGAAAAAAGTAAACATTTTTCTTCGTGCATAAACAGCAGCGATAGTTTTCTCTTCTCTACTTCACTTTTTGTGAGAAGCGCTAATCACAAGAGGGACTGGTTTATTGTAAACTATGGTGGTCAGCAACTTCTTGTAGGAGGCATTAAAACTCTTGGGTGTGCAGGAATATCAAATATTAATTTGATTTGCTACTTCTTTAAATACAGGGGACGGATTTTTCAGTGAAACACCAGAAAAACAGAAAACAGTAAATTTCAACTTTGCTACATGTGCGGAGACAACACTCACGCACACACATGCATGGACACTTGCAGTAGATTCACAAGTTCAAATGCAGTGGATGTGTGTTTTAGATTTAAGGGCAGCTCTGTGTAAGCGCAAGTGCGTACATGACTCTCGATGTGGGCGTGCACGTCTGTGTAAGCATATATGCGGCTGTTAGTGGGCGTGCGCGCGCACTGAAATGAATATAACAGGCAACAAAGAGCATGAAGCCGAGAGATATTCTAAAAGCCAGGCGGACTGGATGATAATGGCCTTGGCTTGCAGTCTTTACATAGCACACAGCGCATTAATGCTGGTCTAGCTCTGCCACTGTAATACCAGGTAACGGAGCGAACGGCACGTCTCTCATGTAATCATTTAATCATGGGTACAAAGGAGCATACAGCGCGAGCTTTCGCCTTCCGATACCTCTCTCTTTCTTTATCTCACAGTGTCCGTCCCTCCTGCAATTAGCTCCAGCATGACGTTCAGTGTATGTGCTCTCTGTATTATGTTGTTTTTACTCCTGCTTCTTATAAAAGTGCGCTAACAATATGGAGAAAATATTTATTCAAAGTAGCTGTTTGTTCTTGTGAGAAAGACAAAAGGGAGCAACGTGAACGTGTCCGTGACTGGCAGGGCTGGTATGTACTGTATGAGAGCTGGTGTGTTTTGTACGTGTATGTGGGAGTGTTCCTGGGTCTTGACCTTGCTGAAGAGCAGGTTGAGCTGCTTGCCCGAGCCGTGGTATCCTCCCTGGGACAGGAAGAGCTTGACCTGCTCCTGAACCTGCTCCTCATCCAGGTGCCAGCAGTTCTCATCATCCACACTAGCTCCCGCTGTGGGGTCCGGGGCCCCTACACACACACACACACACTTCAAATCTTATATGTGCATAAGGCCATAACATTTTTTCCCTTATTATCTCTTATCATAATGTATGCTATGGCATTATTGGTATATATTGGATATTGTGAATATAATATTTGTCAAATAAAACCCCGTGCAGATTTTATATTCCAGGGAATGAGATGAAAGTCAGTTTAATTTTGTTCATGAAAAGCATAAAAACAGTGCACTTTGATCTTAGCAAACACAGTTAAAAGCTAATTCTACAAAAAAAAACAAAAAAACATCTCTTTCCAAGTTCATTTGCCCTTCCTTTTAAGAAAAAGATCAAAAATGTCTCCATAAATAGCCAGGAAATTAAAAAATAAAAAAAAAGACTGACAATGTAACTCATCTTTCTACACCTTTATGTCCTATGACTACAGCAACCTGCAAGTGCACTACTCGTACTGCAGGCAGCAATGCGGTGTTTTGTTTCTATAACATTACCAAGAACACATCAGCAAAGCCATTTAGCTATTTGATCTTAACAATAGACAAACTTGCCGTCCATTGCATTTTAATAAAACTAATTTTAATATAACACAACGTCATTATTTCAGTGCCGCCCTCAATAATTAAACTGCCCTACCGATTAAGCAAATTAACAGGTTTCACTGAGATAGATTTTTGTTAAAAGCATGCAATAACAAACTGAGTTTTAAAGATGTCTTTCCGAAGACTCGCTGAGGAGAAGCTCAAACTGAGAACCTGAACAGGAGTAACTCTGCTAACAAGAGTTAGTTTACGTTTCTAGAGCTATCGATGGCTCATCGACAGGTCTCTTCATTCTCAAAAGACTCTGTCTCTTCTGTTCTCCGTCTTCTTTTTTTGGCCCTCCTCAGTTTCCTTTGCTCAAGTCTGTTTCCTGTGTCCCGTTATTTTTGGACACCTCCCCATAACTTCTTTTTTGCTTCCTTCATCACTTCTCCAGTTACAAAGCAGCAACACACAATCACAAAAAAAAAAAAACGCATCCAGACTCTTTTATGCCTTTTTGTGCTTCCTGGTTTCCTTGGTTTCTCTTCCCGAGTTGTTTGCCCTTCTATTTGTACTTGCTGCTTACCTCTTCTGGGTAAGCAGTAAGTACAGCATCGATAACAAGAGATAAACAAATCTGTCTAGTAACCTCTTGATCTGTATCTCTGCATTGTTATCTCTCTCTCTCTCTCTCTCCCAGAGGTAAACAACAGCTCTATAGTGTTGATTGCAGCCACAGAATCTCTGCTTGCTGTCTGGCTCTTATTAATGAGTAACATTGATCCCGCCACACTTCACCTTCCCCTCGCAGTCAATACGTGCGCACGTAGAGGGCGTTAATACCCACGTGCGATCTTAAACATGCCCATTACCTCACAAAGACACTAACACACAGGTTTCCTCACCGTGGACCTGATTGATCTCAGAGTTCTGTGACAGAATCTCGTCTGCCAGTTTCTGCGCAGTAGGCAGAACCTCAGTGTGGTGGACTGATATCAGATACTGGACGAACTTCTGCAGCTGGTCTCTGCTCATCTGGAAGAGGGTTTCCGAGATGGGCAGGTGCAGCTTGACCTGTTCCGGTTTCCGTACTCTGTAAAGCGACAGCGCCACTACATGGGCGCAATAGAAGATGTCCTTGTTTCCACAAGTGCACGTTACCGCCGTGATCTTGCAACGATCAAAGCTCACGCTGACGCTGCAAACGAGCTCCGGTGACGAGGGGGTGGCGGGGTCCGTCACTGTGCCGCTCAGGTGGAAGCCTGAAAATGTTAGAAACAAAAGAGAACGTGCTTTGTTTTAGGAATGTTTTTGTTAAATCCTTCGTTGTTTTCCATTTGTCTTTGCAACTAAAACAACAAGTCAAGCTACAGAAACAGCAGACAACTAAGCAACGTCTTATATAATAGAGGGACATAACCACCATCAGCCACTAGTTAACAGTGCTTACACTCTTCTTTGTAGAATTGGTTTAATATTGGAGGGTTTTTAAGCATGAAAGGTCTGTTTAGGGTGATGCTAATAGATCTCAGCTGGAGATGGTCCAGGTCCTGTAGTCCCAGACTATGACACTACCACCACCATGTTTGACTGTTGGCATGTTGTTCTTTTTATGAAATACTGTGTTATTTTTGAGCCAGATGTAAGAATATACAAATGACCACAACTGTTAGTATTGCTGAATCATGAAAGCTGACCTTAACTGAGACAAGTAAGGCCTGCAGTTCTTTAGATCATACGCTGGGTTCTTTTGTGACCTCCTCGATGAATCATCGATGCACTCTTAGAGCTCATTATGGCCATTCTTGGATAGGTTCACCACTATTCCAAGTTTTCTCTATTTGTGGATAATGCTTCTCACTGTGGTTCGCTTGAGTAAAAATGGCTAGTCTAAGGTAGCCACATGAGGTAGTACAGCGTTTGAAGCTTCTGCATTGGATTGAGTTTTTAGTCAAGAAGGTTGCTGCTTGGTCTACAGATCTACAGACACACAGAGGCAACACGACGTTTTGTACTACAGCAGCTAGTTCACCAAGTGTGCTCTTTATTAAATGACACTACTGCGCACATTGTCTACAAGAATGAATAAACTTAGGATGGAGTTATGTTAAACAGACTCACTCGACCGCAGTCACCTGCCAAATGCCCCATGTTCTCTTATCAGTATGATCAGGACCAGCTGCAGTCTACTACCATTACTGTGAGTGAGAGTAGATGGGCCTGACAGAAATCTAGATGCAGGAAACTGCTGATCCACGGCAAAAGGAATTGAGAAAGAGATAAGGAAGTGAGCAGTGTGCTTGACTTTTCCAGTATGAATTATACAGGCTCTCATTTGAATATAATGTTTGATCTTGTCCTGACTGCACCATCCAGAGGCGTGGCTAGTCATTATTCGAGAATACATATGAATGAACCAGGTGGGGGTTCCCAGCAGTGGCCTAAAACACACACTTATGAGCATATGAAAGAGACACACATATGGGCACACACATACATATTGAGGCACAGCGTGCGATCATGCATTTATTAATAATGGGAGTGGTTAGCAGAGGCCAGGAGTAGCTTATGAATGCATTTATGCGCTCAAGAGAGAACTCTGAAATTCATGTGGACCATGCAAAGACATACATATGTTTAATATGTTTATCAAAGGACCGAGAGCATACATCGATGTGATATCAAGCATGTATTAACGCATATATCAAAGTGTTTTCTGGGGCTCTATATTTGGTATGAAGGGAGGGGCAGGAGTTGAATATTTTATAGGATATAGATGGAAATGAGTGGAGGATTATTCAGGAAAGCTAAACAGAGGTCAAAATAGACACCCTTCTTTCTTTGTCCTCAATGAGTGGAATAAGAAAGCGGGTGACTAAAATAATGATAATATAAAATGTCAGCATTGTCCCTAAAGCAGCTTCTAGAAAAGCATAGTTGGAAACTTCATTTAAATATCTTGCATATCACAAGACTTTTACTACTTTCCACTTGCCATAGCTATTGCATTCAGCTTATATAGGCTCAGTTATGATTAGTGAACTCTCCCAACTAGTTGTCAATAGCTGTTGTCTTACAGTTTTAATAATTTGCCAACAAGTTTTAGTTAGTCCTGCATCTAACTTCATACTTGGTGACCACTTTCATTGGTTTATTCCTTCTATTTAGCCAACAATTTCAAGCATTTATTTATACATTTATATCCTTTCAATAGTTACTATTTTAATGACATGGTATGCTTTCAGCTAGTCATTTAAAACTCTGTTTATTTCACTTTTATCTCACCATTTCAACTGTTAATCAATACATCTGGCTAAATATTTCAGTAGCAAGCCATACCATTAGCTTCTCATTTCAGAGTCTTCATTTAAATTTTTACTGAGCTAATTTAAATGTTTGTTCATTATTTTTAGTTAACAATTAGCCAACACACTGTGGATACCTTTCTCAATATTTAAGCTGTTAATACATTAAGGAAACAATTTCAACCAATTTTTTTAAACTATTAATTTCAAACTTTTTATTAATTTAGCATTGAATAGCATACTTAGCATAGCATACTTTGACTTTTATTTGTTTTAACAGTTAGCTAACAATTTCACTTACAAGGCACGCATTTGGGTAACCATTTTAAACCACTTTAAACTGTTTAGTTATAGTTTAACAGTTGAAGTAGTGAAAATAATCATTTTAACAGTTAGCTAACAATTTAAATTACAAGCCATACCTTTAGCTAACTGCAAACTCAAAATTTATCATTTTAGTTAACCATTTATATGAAAAAATAACATTTTGCTTAACTAACAATTTTATTTCTTTATCTATATTTTTAGTGAACAAACTTAACTCCTAGCTTTACTTTGAGTAAACTTTAGATAACCACTTCACATGTTTATCTAAACTGTGAATAAACTATGTGTTCCTATTTATTTTGACTGACTGTTTTCTGCTTCACATCCATTAACTTCAGTTAGCAGTTAACTTTTCTTCTCAAGCCTCTTCAGGCCCCTCCATTCTTAAATTGATTTGAATTCCCCCCCCTTTTTGGATTAGTTGAGCATTTGTGTCCATTTAATGCTTGTTCCCTTGGATGAGAATAGTTGCTATTGGTTTTATTAGACGGATGCCTAATATAAATCTATCAATACAACATTCAAAAAGCTCTATCAGCATGAATGTAATTGGAGTTTGTAAAACAGAAAGAGCAATGAATTATGATATTTACCCTTTCGCTTAGCATTATCTGCAAACTAAGAAATGCTGGCTGCAAAAACCTAACACTGCACAACACTGCCATGGAGATATGCGTTTCCATTCTGAAAGCCAGCTGGCAGAGGAAACACATGTTTGTTAACAATATCCACAGTAGATTGAGTGTGGATCAAATATGGCAGCCACTCGCATCTGCAGTGATCAAAGCCTATATGTCTCCAGCTGTGGGAGACTCCAGCACTGAGACAATCTTAAACTAGACAAAAACGCTGACATAGTGCACCTGGTTGTAGAGCAGAAAGCTAGCTTATTAAGCTGTAAAAAACATACAAATGAGCAAATGTTTGTAACTCTTGCTGCTACATTTAGTCTGTCGGTACGTGTGTGTGTGTGTGTGTGTGTGTGTGCGTGTGCGTGTGTGCGCGCATGTCAAGCTTGTGTTTCGAGAGTGGCCCCTGGTCCACAGAGGGGGGAGAAAGAGAGAACATCAAAAACATGTGGGGCTTAGAGAGCCCAAAAAAAATGAACCTTTGATACAATTGGACACACTCTTACACACAAATGTGCACACACACACACACACACACACACACACACACATCAGATGGTTGTAAAACCAGCTGCACTTTAAAAACCAAAACTATTTTTCTTTCTCATAGAGAAAATGAACAGGGATACTTTTTGGATTCAGAACACATGGAGTATAAAACACTGAACAGTGATAAAAGACTTGCGTATTTAAAAAGCTAAATTCTGTCGTGTTTCCCTTGCTTTAATAGGCATTCTCACTCTCTCCCCTTCCAAGCCCTTTTCATCCATCCACATTCCCACAGCTCTTTCTCTCTCACTCTCTGACAGATGGGTAGGTAATGAGTTTCGCCTTTCCCCGTCCAATCGTCTGGGCACCAAAACCTGCCCCCCACGCCAAAAATGCCCTTTTAATTTAGCCAAGCGCTGAGTACAGGGATATTACTGTTTAGATACACGCACTAGCACACACACACACACACACACACACAAACACACCTCCCCTGACTCCTGGTTGGGTGGGTATGAAACCTTCAATGTCTCATGTGCTAGCTATTAAAGAGCCTGGTTTCCCCCTCACCCAGTCCACCCAGCTTTCCTCCCCAAGTGGTACTCAGGGCTCTTTTCTGTGCATGTTCAAGAGGCCAGTGTTGGCTTTCAAAGTAACCATGGCGGCCATTTTTAGAACAAGGCCTCTGTGAGGTTGCCCTAGAAACCCCTTCTGACCGCCCTGGTGAAATCACACTTGGCCCAAAACACAGAGGAAGCAGGCAATGACAGTGTGTGAAAGAGTGAGTGAGAGTGAGAATTAGTGTGTGTGTGTGTGTGTGTGTGTGTGTGTGTGTGTGTGTGTGTGTGTGTGTGTG